GTTTTCGCGGCCGAGAGTCTATTATATATGAAAATTACGACGCGGCGCTGCTGGCGATCTCTCAGGATACGGTAATGAAATCCCTAACGCTCAAATTGAATGCGATGAGGAAGCTAGCTAGCTCGCGCGAACGCGCGCTCACGGAGGTGGTCAATTTGCAATTTTGTTCTTGCAAAAAATGTATACACTTTTTATGCGCTCTAATATCCGAGCTTGCTTCATTGATATATGCGAATTTTTTTCCCCTCGGCTTGCGCGTTGAACAATCTGCACATTGTGTACAAAATGAAATTATAATCTTACGAGGCAGAGGGCGGAGATAATCTTAGTGCGAGAGAAAAAACTGCATTCTTTACTGGCGTTATCTGCATTTTTTTCTCGATATTTCTGTAACTATTTTATCCGACACATTTTATCGTCTTTCATTGGGATGAAAATTCCAATCGACGCAATGAAGAAATTTTTCATTCCAAGCTGCACGGTTTATCTAATTAATCCTATGATAATAGTCAATCATGTGTAAGGCATTAACGCGGCGGTTGGCGTGATCAGGCTGCCTGTCAGTCAATATTCGTACGAACTAGCCTCTTCGGTATATCTTCTTTTTTTTTTTACTACATTTTGCTCGGGTACATAATTGAATTATTAGCGTCACTAAAAGCTCGATGTGGCGTGTGCGTGTTCTGGGATAGGTATTGGTATCACCGAGGTCGCGTTCATTTTCCCTTATGACATTTTATTTTGATGGTATAGATATAATCTCATTTCTGGGTTTTATTTTGTCGACAAACGAGTATATGCTACATCTTTCAAAGTCATCTAAAAAGCGTTTTCTAATGCAGTCAATGTACAGCTGCGAATACATTATAAGTGTAATAAGGTAAGATTCAGGTATATCGGTTTGTACGTGCGATTTCGATCGCGACGAAATTACATGATTACAAGTCTGCGAAGCGTCTAATGAAACACCTTGTATTCAGCAAACGTAGATTACTAGTATTTTCTACATTATATACCCGCAATTCCGAGCGTGTTTCTCTCCTCGTGCTCTTCGCTCTTTCTCCTTTTGACCTTACTCCAAATTTACCTTGAATTCTGTCTCTCTCCGCGACCGCAGCAAATTGTTGAGAATATAATTAATAAGTCGCATAAGAATTCTAGGATGCTTCAGAAAAGAAGAAATAATAATTTTATAATTTTTTTTCTTCTGCTTTCAGGTGAGTAATTCTTCTCATTCGAGATTATATACCGAGATAAAAAAGCAGGAGCAACCGTAAGTAATGAAATGAAAGAAAAAAAATTCCATCTGAATTACTCTTAGCCGAGAGTCGGCGGCGTAAATAAACCGAAACGGCGAGCGCAACTGAAACGTATTAAACTTAATTCTTTCGATATATACGCGAACGCGTACATCAGCGATCGCTCGGGAAAAACGGCCAGTATTTTAGCGTCGAGTTTAACTGCCTCGGCTGCAACGAGTCGCCCCTGAGTGCGCACACATGGGATTCTCTGCAGCTCTCTGCCACGAGTTTCTTTCTCTCTCCCACACACGTGGAGCAGTTCGAGATTGCGTAGATGACGCTCGTGTGTAGATATATATACATAAAACGCACATAAACATTGTCTCGAGACTGTCGGCCACTCGCGCGATCGTATTTATTTATCTGCCATATATACGAGAGAGCGAACGACGACTCGGTCTCTTTTCCCTTTATGTCGCACGAACGTATGGCGCTACATTGACTCGAACTACTGCGGCGCGCAGCTGTGCGCGTTCGGCGCGTTTAGCTCGGTAGATAGGCAACTATGTAAACTCTCGCCGACGATTATGATGAAGAATCGATGGAGAAAAAGGTTTACGCTGATAGGGACTTGGCTTTATGCGCGCTATATTATTGTAATTAAATTTGATAAAAGGTTCTTTGAGTGAGATGGAAAGAGAGTAAGAGAGAGAGAGAGAGAGCGGGTCTACTTGGGGCGTGCGCGCTCTAAGTCGAACAAAATTAAAAGTAAACTTCGAAAGCGCAGCGCGGGTAAGCTTTTAATACGATTCCGAGCTTTGCTACGCGCGCGAGCGCGTATATACACTGCAAAAGATTCATAAAAGCTAGGTACTCCGGGCCGCGCGCGCGATGGCACGTCTTTAAAAGATCGATAAAATCCTTCGCACAGAACAAGTTTTTAAAGAGAGAATATGCGCGGTGCGCGAGCCCGAGCAAGGAGAGAAAGGACATACCCCTCCACACGTGTATGACACAATACGTGCGTGACTTTTAACTTTTCCAATAAAACCTTTTGTGTTTCCATTGTCCGCCCACCGATAGGGACGTTATCGTAAAAGCAACAAGAACAACCGGTGAAAAGATGGAGGCGCGCGATAAATGAGCGGCGTGTGCGGCAGCGCTGCTGACTGGCTTTTGTCGCGCAAGTATTTCGCGCGATAAGTGATATATATAGAAATACATTTAACGGCGCTTGGCATTCGTACATAACACCGATACATGTGTACGTACGGCGACAGCGCACATCCTGGGTCAAGGTCATTATCAATAATGTCCATTGAATTTGAGAATTACTTTATAACCTCTCCATAAGGCGCGCCATATTTTTCCCCCTTTTTTATTAGCTTGTTAAATAGATAGCCTGTGGAAATCTTTCGCAGAGTTGGTCGTGTACTATACTATGTGCGCGCGCGATCTATCGTATAGCTGCTAAGAACGAAAAAGAAGAAGAAACACTTTTCGACCTATTTACGAGTTCAGACATTCGATACTCGCTGTACTCCAAATGGCAAGTCTCGGGGTTATATAGCTTTAGCTGGTATACTACTACCACTACCACCACCGCCACTACCGAGAGTGTACTATCGCTACATCTCTCTCTCTCTCTTTCGCTCTGTGGTTTTGGACGCTTGAATATTTTACTTTGTAACTTTCTCTCTTCTTTCTCCCTCCCTCCCTCTCTCTCTCTCTCTCTCTATTTCTCTTGAGCGCGCACGATAAAGGTGGAGTCGCAAAGTTTAATCCAGCCGGCCTACAGGCAAATTCAGAGAATAATTTATGGACTAGTGGACCGATACGTAATAACTTTATAAAAAAATAAGTAGTCCAGTGGTCGAGCTGCTGCCGCTGCTGCTGCTTTGATGGTATTTGCGTGGTCCATTTCAGAAATCTGTTATCGAACTTAATTCAGTTTGCGTAGATCCGTTCAGTCCGATATTTGCGCGCACGAGTCCGATAATCTTAAGGAATGAATTGGTCGTCGTCGTCGTCGTCTTCGTCGAGCTTCTGCTGTTGATGTTCCGTGCGAGTGTATGTGTGGGTATGTATACGTCAGCGACAAGTACGTGTGTTTTGGAAGTGTATAAGCGCATACACGATGTATACTGTCTGCACACTGTACAACGTATTATATATATAGTGCAATGGCCTCAGACTACTGTGGCTTGCAGGCGGCAACGCCAGCAGATAATACCGCTTACACGAATGTTTTGGCCCTTCTGGTGTAGATTGTTATTCATCGTCCTTATCTCATTCTGTATAGCTGTGGAGCACATATACATGTCACACGTATACATATACAGCCAAATACACGCTACACCTAGAGCAGTATTGATTGCGGTTCAGGTGTATTTGATGCCAATATAATCAAACGATAGAATAATGCGCAGCTGCTATTTCAGCATTGTTTTTGAGCGGGTCAAATTGATTTTACTAATCTCTCGAGCTGCAAGTGATAATTATTCAAAGTTGTTATTTCAATCGAAGTCGCGAGAATGTTTGCGCATGGCAAACCAAAATCCAACTTAATTAAAATAAATGACATTTGCATCATCGTCGTAGCAGCAGCTACAGCAGGCGGTAGCTACGAGCTTTCTATTTTCATAAAATTTTTTCGTTGCACAGCTGTGCAGTAGCGCGATCGTCGAATGTGTTTTTAATGAAATTCCCTCGAGCTAATTGCCAGCACATGTTAATAATACGAGTATAAAGAAAAATGTATCTGCATTATATATACCGGTAGGTACGTACGCCATCGTCATATGTATAACGAAGAGCATCACTACCTGCAGCTAGTCTACTAAAAAAGCGTATATACCCTCTTTCGCGCGCGCAAAAAGAGCAAAGCTCTCGCTCGCTCTCTCCCTCTCTTGCGCTGCGCTCTACTACTCCTCTTCCGAGCGCGAACATTAAAAAAAAAGAGGAAAAAAAAACATAAACGCAGTATTAGCATGTAGCGCTCATACTCTCGACGTTTTTTTTTATTTCTTTTTCTTCATCCACGCAGGTGTTTGCGCGTATATGTCTGTGTGTAATCGTTGTGGCGCAAAAGGTGCAAGTGAAATAAGAATGTATCTCTCTTTTCTCTCTCTCTGTCTCTTTCCTACAATCGTATGTACGTGGAAGGGTTTTCCAAGGGGATAAGAGAGCGGTTGTTCTATATCACTGGTCCAGTGCACCGTAATACGTATGCAGCGTATATATACGTATAGAAAGTCGGTGCCAATAGCAGTAGTCAGCAGTAGTATTATAGTAGAGTTGAAGAGCGCAAGCGCGGGTATATACCACCACCGAGTCTGGAAAGACGGCGAGGAGCAGCAGCAGCACCACCCCCTGTACCCAGCAGCCCCTAGTATACAGCTCTATATACATGTATAGAAAAAGATAGCATGGTCCAGCAGCAGCGGCAGCGGCAGCGGTGGTGGTGGCGGCGGCGGCAGTCCCCGGGACGCTTACGGGTCGCAGGAGAGACATGCATGTACACACACACACGCAGACACACGCAGACGCCCAGACTCCGTTGCGGAGTATAACTCAGACACACACGCACGCGAGATCGCGAGAGGGTGGAAGAGCGGGCGCGGCAGAAGAGCATCTCTTTCTCTCTCGCTGTGCTCTGCTCGCTCTCTGTCACTGTCTACCTACCTACCTCTCCGCAGACTGCACAGCGAGAGCAGCAGCGGCAGCAGCACAGCGTGTTGTCGAGGTGGAGGGGGCGCTGCTTTTATGCATCCCTCTCGCTTTTGCTCGCTGAGAGGAGAGTCTGGCCAGAATCCGACCCTGCCCTACTCTCTGCCGCTTTTCTCGCTCGCACACACACGCGCCTGCATTTGCAAACACACGTACATACACGTACACACACACGGATGAACTCGGGATACAACCCCCGTTTCCGAAAGCGCGCACGCATGTGCTCGCGCGCTCTGCAAAAGTAGTGTGCCGAGGCTTGCATGTATCTATCTCGCGCGCACTAGTGTGTCACGGGGTTTTGCGCGCTCGCTTGCAGAGAGAGAGGAGAGGAGAGGAGGAGGAGGAGGAGCAGCAGCAGCAAAGAGAGAGAGAGAGAGAGAGAGAGATGAAAGACGAAAACTACGCTACTCCTTTCTGACTACTCTCGCGCTCTATCAGCTGAGCGACTGGAGCACTGCAGCTCGCTCCACCAGACGAGCAGAGAGAAGCAACTTGTTCGCGACCGTATAAACGAGTGCAGTGTGTCGGTGTGCAGTTCGTTTGTTGTTGTTGTTGTTGTTGTTGTTGTTTGTTTTTTCAACTTGTTGTCGTTTTCCACTTTCCGATCACCATGTGCTATGGTTGAAAGGACAGTATAGAGAAAAGTGGGCTCGGAGCCATGAGTGAAAGCAAGTCGAACTGAGGCGGATCTCGCGAGACGAGCCTTTGCCTGCTGCAGCCTCGAGTTTATTTAGAATAGTGTCGCGCCTCCTCCTCGTGTGCCTCCACTACGATCCACCTTCCCGCGCACATTATCGTTGCCTTAAATACGTGTTTATTATTTAGCCAGCCGATCGAAAGGGGATAATTGTCGTGTGTGCGTGTGTGCCACGCGGGCGCACGCGTGTGTGCTGGAACGTGTACGCGACGAGTGTCGATTATCGTTATAGCCCATCGTCGTACATGTGTCGGTCGGTCGTTGTGACGAAAAAAGAAAAAAAAAATAAGTGGAGCCTCTCGTCGTTCGCACTGCCACTGCCAGAAAAAGAGCCAGATCTACGAGAGCATTACCACTGTGTCGAGAGTATAAGAGCGAGAGGCTGCTCTTTCGAGGTTAGGAGGCTGAGAGGGAGGAGGCTGCTGTGTGCTACTGCTGTACTACTGTGCGCCGATCGAAAGCTCCGACTCTCTCGCTCGTCTTGTCGCTAAAGCTCAGCTCCCCTTGCACCAGTCCAGCGGCCTGTGTGTGATACATATATATATAGAAATCATTGTTGTTGTGAGTTCGTGCGTGCCGCCTGGAGCGATATACACGACGTAATATATTAATTATATATATCATAGTATATAGCCGTGCGCCGAAAAAATTAATATCCCCGAATGAGCGAGGGCGAGAGCGACGAGAGCAGCAGCGGCAGCACCATGAGCGACGAGAAAGCCGAGTGCATCAGGAACAACGATGCCGCCGCTCCGGTCGCCGATAACAATGCAGCCGCGGCCGCCGCCGCCGCAGCGGCTGCCAGCAACGCTCCAGCTGCATCTGGTATGGGCATTTTATTATAACGCAGCTATTATAGCTCCATTGTTCCTCCTGAGTATTATCTGTACTTGTGTGTGCGTGTGGGTGTCCGTATGCTCGAGTGGGATGAGTTTAGCGAGCGCTAAAAGTCCGACCGAAATCGAGCTTTACCACTTGAAATTGAGAGAAATTGAAATTGCGCGCGCGCGTTTATTGGGGATATATTTCCCAGAGAACAAAATGTTGGAACGTTTCTGGCTACGCGATATAACGAACTTTTTCGCTTTTGTCAACCTTATATTTTTTAATTTACGGAATATTTTACAGAGAGCCTTAATAGGGAGAGCTTAATTACGTTCGTGCAAGCACAGCCCATAGATACCCTTCGGCGTTACATAATATTTTTCATCCCCAGCAGCAGCGGCAGCAGAAATTAAAACTTTATTAAGCTCGCAATATATCGAATAAACAAATTTCCTCATCGCGATCGCTTTACTTTGTGAAAAAATTATCCGAGCTCTGTTTAAAATGAAAAGCGAAAAAAAGCAAACAATCGTCAATGAAAAGCTTCTTTTTTGCTCGCTCGTACTTTCGAGCGGACTGTCTTTTATTCTTGGTTAATTGCATTCAAGTTAAGCGTTGACGCGCGAGTCGCGGTAATTCTATGTACATAATACATAGAATGACACACATATACACGAAGTGTGTTTGTATAGACGCTCATTGAAAATGGAGAGCAGAAAGAAAGAGAAAGAGAGAAAGAGCCAGAGCGTCGGGTAAATAAATACTGCAGACAATGGTCTTGCGATCTTGGGCCGAGGCGCGAGGCGCGAGAGAGCTCGAGATTAATAGAGAAAAGCTGAAAACGAGATATTTTCTCTCTTTCCAACTGTTATCTGCCGCCGCTGATGCTGTGATGCGCCGCTGGAAACACTGTATACACGTCGTGTCTGATTATATTCGAACACGAGCAAAGGAGAGATCGCGAGACGAATTAATAATGAAGCTTTTCGAAACGTGATGTTCCTTCTCTCGCCTCGGCTTTTTGATTTGTTGTCTGCAAAATGGGAAAATCGATTCCAAGGGTCAGGCTGGCCACATAGTACACAGCCTGTACAGTCTGTGTGTGTGTGTGTTTGTGTGTGTGTGTGTGTACGTGAATGTGCAGAGTACAGCTGCCAGACCATGTTTACCGAGTTATTTTTGAAGTCCGAATGTATTTTTCGGGTCTTCGTCATCGTTTGTGTAACAGACTTTTCCGCCTCCCTGGGCATTAAATTTTTCTTCCTTCACTTTTTGCTCCATGTGGCGTATGTTAATTTATTATATGCGCGCGTCTCGCAAAAAAAGCTATGTGATATCACGACCCTCCGGAGACCAACGTCAAATTTATTTATCATTGCATTAATATATACGGCATCGGCGTATACATGAATATCAATTTGTCGAAGTCGAGCAACGAGATTTTTGAATCAATTATAAAAAGGAAACTCTCGTTTTTGTTTGCTGAAACTCGTACGTGAAACAATATTGTAATGTAATAACGATGTACTCCATTGGGAGATCGTGTGTTGAACTAGATTTTGCAGCTTAGGGACTTTCGAAGCGTAATTCTACAAAATTTGACGAGATAGAGATGCGCACGGACGACATTTTATGAGATACAAGTCATACTTGTCCGGTTAATAATTGGAATTAACTCATACGCGAATGAAGGAAATTTTATCGCTCTGAACCACAACAAGAAGTATTAGCATCGGCTGAACAATAGTCTACGTATACGGCAGATGTATTTACTGTACACACGTACTCGAATGTCATACGTGCGCGCATCTTCGCAAGAGGAAATCGAGTCGATCTAATTCGTAGCACTGCGCGTGTACACAGAGAGAGAGAGAGGCGATTTGCAGCTTAGCGCGGGCTAAGCCCTTTCCGTCTTGCCAGCTCGATCCTTGCTAATGAGCTGCCGACTTGATTGCAGACCTGCGGTTTAGCCGGGGGATCATAATATCTCCAAGAGATATTTCTACGTACGTGTACACAATCATCGTCAGTGTACCTTTGACTCGGTTAGACTTTGACGCATTTGGTTTATTATGGGACGAAGCTGTCACCGAATCAAGGCACATAACGAGCGCACGCACGTTCGTTATTGTGCTTTGAGACGAAAAGCTGCTTCGATCGTTACTCTCTCTATCGTAATGACGCTCTTTTCTGTTATATACCGTAGTAAAGCGACTTTATTCACTTTGCAAACTATAGAAGATGATCTCGGCGTGCTCCGCGGATGTATAAACTCCAAGGAGTTGGCAATCAAAAATGCGAGTCGAGCTCTTGGAAAAATAAAGATCTCTCTATCGCGATCTCTCTTTCTCTCTCTCTCTCTCTCTCTCTCTCTCTGGAAGCTAGATAATGCTGGCGTTGCACGTGTAACAGCGCCAAGTTATACGATATTTTTTCGAAAATTTTTTTTTTTAATGCACGAGCACAATCTCGTGTTCGCGGTATAAGAAAGTTCAATAATGGTACCCGCGCGACTCCTTCGATAACTATATCCAAAATCCAATGCTTTCAATATCTAATTTCGTTCGCCAGCGATAGAAAAAACCCCGGTGTAAAGTTTTCCATTCGAAAACTCTTTTTCCCCGGAACTTATCCCGCGGTTAAAAAAAATTCCGCCCCACACTTTCGTAGACACTTAAAATCTGTCTCTCTTCGTCTCTTTATCTCTCTGATATACAGTGCAAAGGTAAGCTTTATATGCGTAGAGAGGGAGATTTATACATAGGCCATATAACGCTCTGGAGATATAAGTAAATTTATAAACTATATAGTGTTCGGGAGAAAACTGCCTGTACACGGCGTACACGCACGAGCTTTATTTTATATATGGGTCAAAATGATACTTTTTTAAATTTTCGTCTGCACTATGTCCCCGATCTTGACGCGCTTTTGGTATGTTATAGTACATGATAAAAAAGTGCCAAACCCAAATTTTGGGACCCCCTTCCCCCATCTACTACGCACTTCCGATATAAACGTCCATTTTCTATCTATATTTTTTTGAAGTCCTGAAGCAATTAAAAAATCTGAAAAAATTCATGAAGGTACTTTTCAACAATCCAAACACCCTCGAATTTTTTCAGATTGTTTGAGTGTTTCAGGCCTTCAGAAAAAATATAGGTAGAAAATGAACGTTTATAGGGGAAGAGGGGAGTAGGAGGAAGGGGAGGGGGTCCAACATTTTGGTTTTGGCACTTTTTTATCATGTACTATAACACAAAAAAAGCGCGTTAAGATCGGTGACATACGTGCGGACAGAAATTTTAAAAAGTATTATTTTGACCCATATATAATATGCGTTCGTGTATAATCCTTATACATATACGCCGCCGTTGCGCGTCGCATTATAATCTTGTATAGTTGAATTCAGTGTTGCGGAAGAGCATAGATTAAACGGGTGTACACATTGTTTTGTGCACTGCACACTCGCCTATCTTCAGCGTATATAGCCGCCCTCCAAAAGTTGCACAGGCATATAGCGCATATAAGCTATTCGTTCATAACTATATACATGCGTAATAATAATGCATATCTGGCAATTTTACTTCGCCGGGAATAACATTATCAACGGTATGTATACGCACGCGACGCGCGATGCGACGATGTTTCTCGAAAATTGACATTTTGCTCAGCTCTCTTGTTTTCCTGTTACATATTTTGCTTTTGAATAAATTATATGCACGCGAATTAACAAATCCAGGGACGCGTTTGCATATAATTTTTCATCGCTATTTATTATGATTTTTTTTTTCTGATTCGCACGGCTGCACATTCGCATAGCACGCACGTATACAATCTTTATCGACTGCGAAAAAGTCTTCGAGCCTGTAACTGTCGTTAACAAAAGCAGTTATATATTTTTCAAAGTTTATCCTCGTGCTTTTCCACACCCACCGATCCACACACACACACACACATACACACATACACACATACACACACGCGTGCACTTGAACACGCAAAATTTACAGAGGATCTGTAGCATGAACAAGAACAATAATTGAATGCTATGTTTTTGGACTCGGCGAGTTTTTCTTTCTTTCGCTGTCTCTCTGTTTCTCTACGCAAGCGACGAAATACTCTGACAGCAAAATTGCATCACCCGGGCGTTCATATGTGCGATATAAAAGTTTATACGTTTGACTCACTTTTACCTAGTTGTATTTCCTATTATATTTTCCTGCTTTTATTTGTCAATTTATTTATTTTCTTGTAGTAAAGACAGAAAAATCTTCAGAATATTATTTAGGGAATATAACCTTGACATTTTTTCTTTTTTTCCGGAAGTCAAGTGTGTTTGTGAGAAAGAGAGAGAGAGAGAATGTGGAAATTGCTGTGCAACAATGCTCGAAATTATCTGTGTAATCAGGCATTATTAAGCTTGAATCGCGGGACGCATAACGAGTTTTTAACCGCAATAATTTACAAATTCGCTCAAACTTTTATTAAACGAAGCGATTATTAGTCATGCTGTAAAGTAGCTTTAATAAAATACTGGCATTACAGCACGTCAAGGGAGGAAACTTTTCAAAAATTCATTCGCGCAATTTCGACACTCTTTTATATACACACATCAGTAATGAATTTTAAGCTGTTGTGTTTCGACCGAACTGTAATCTAGTTAAAAATTAAGCTATTGACGTAGCCGGTATTAATCGTTGAATAATTCATCGACGCTACAGAAATTAAAGGGCGATACGTACGCAGCGTGTATTACAGCAGCCGTGCGTCGAGCTATATGTTTTATGATAAGTTGGTTTTAAAAATTGATTTATCAAGATGAGCGGGACAGGCCGCTCGCCGGGTATGCGCAGCCTTTATCTCGACATTCTCTCGTAAAAAATAAAGAGGGATACTAGCGCATAGCGAAATGACTTTTTTATGCCCCGACACATAAAAATACTTTTGAGGCTATCAATTAGATTTTAGTAAAAAATGAACAACAAAAAATCATGCGGGCT